TAATTAAAAAATGGAAGCGGACTACCTTGACACCCTGAACCAGAATTCAGATTCCTTGCCTATCTTTAGATTGAGATGCAGAAGTATTTCGTTACCCTGTCGTCGTAGTCGTCAGGCTGAGTTATTGCGTTAAACTTGCTAGCCTGAAATAGACGAAAGCGTTTGCATCCGTTCGCTCTACTTCTGTTTACACACCCGCTACAGCTGGAGATGTGAGTGCTGAACTAACTGGCTCACTTCAACCACAGCATGGAGACGGCACCGCAATCTACGTTATGTAAGTGTACTGAGAATTTACGCTATCGAAATGATTAATTTTATCCTCAGTTGCAGAAATAAAATAACGAAAGTGACCATGGGTGTAGCTGAAGGGTTGTGTGACGCAGAATATAGAACTGGTGACTACAAATAGGACCCCAGTCCTCATACGCCCCAGTCCTAATAGATCCCAGTCCTCATACGCCCCAGTCCTAATAGATCCCAGTCCTCATACACCCCAGTCCTAATAGATCCCAGTCCTCATACGCCCCAGTCGGTGCTACTATAGCATGCGGTCTACCGCAATATCCGTAGTCTACGGATCTGACCTGACTACCTGAACACCAGGACCCTAACCGACCTTATAAAAGGGGGATCAACGAAGACAAACATCAGTATTCTTCTAAAATTTTAGCCGAGAACATCAGTTTAACACATTTTACCCCCTACAATGCTCTTGAAAGATTTCTACAGAGGTGTCATCTTGACAGAAGAAACCGCGGTTGCATTTTTACGTGAAAACAATCTTCTGGACGCACCGCAAGAAGCAGAGCCTTGTCATCGATGTGGCAGTGTCATGCAAGAAAAAAGAAAACGTGACAGAGGTGGGTTAGGTTAGATCCCAGGTAGACAGCACCCTATAGTATAAATGTCCCGGTAGACCGCACGCTAAAGTGGCACCCCCCAGTCTTAATAGATCCCAGTCCACATACGCCCCAGTCTTAATAGATCCCAGTCTTCATACGCCCCAGTCTTAATAGGCATGGGGCCCAACTATAGTGAGCTCCAGTCAAAATAGGCCCCTAATCATGACAATTTAGATAGCTTGGGGCCTACTACGATTGGGATCCTCTTGACCAGCAGCCCATAAAATTGAGGCTGCACAGGATTTCTTCTTGGGAGTCAGCCGTTCTTATGTATTTGTGTCACTTTTCCTGACCTTCGTTCCTCATGGAACTGCCCAGTATGGACCAATAGGCTTCCATTCTTATGTTTTTATTTTTAGATTAGATTGCTCCCGAGGGGGCTAGTTTATTGGGTACCCCTTATGTTCTTATGACGACGTAACGAGCTTGAACTCATGAGATCGTGTGTAAGGGGGTGAGATCTTGAAAGTGTTTTGGGCTTACGTCTTCCAACACTGCCCACCTTGTCGTGCTATAGTTGAAGAATGGGCACAGTACAGGAAGCCATGCATTTTCCATAAAACCAAAAATTTACGATTTTGGCTGTAATTACCTTTTCCTTTGCCTCTTTATAGGTAAGAGTTCTATTAAAGAAACAGTAATTGCATTTCCTTTTTCAGCAGAGTACTCAAAACAACAAATACTAGAAACACCAGTACTAAGTATTGGTACTCGATACCACCGATATTGGGCTAGCAAATACATGGTATCGTATCGAAACAAAATCACCAGTATAGCTCTATCGCCCCTCACTAGTGAACATGGCGGCTGACGGGGTCATGGCCCGGATGAACGGGAGACAGTACAGTATGTGGCGGGAAGTCTGAATAATTTACGTCCCCACGAATTTGTGGTGGCGATATGTGACATTATACACCCAGGGATGTATTTACATCTGTTTGTTCGCTTATTCGTATGTCCATCCGTCGCCCGTCCGTATATTCATCCACCAGACCCTTCTGTCCTTACTTCCGTCCTCTCAGTTTCAGGAGATCTGCAACACTTTTATGAAGCCACGCCCCAAAGAGAGTCTTTTGTGGAAGGTTGGCGAGATGGTCGGGATTACTTAGATAGAACATCAACTCAGTTTGAGCTGTAGTTTGAGAACCATTGTTTTTCAGAACTTTGACACAAAACATGGTATTAAGTAAAGCTATCTTCTCAGATAGGGAGGGCAGTCCGAACTCTTTCCTCATGTTTACAATTCTGGTTGATTTTGGGCAACCTAGGATGATGCGCATGGCTTCATTTTGCCAATCACCCCAGACGAACCTATTAATGCCATTCCTCCTTGGCTGGACATATCAGTTCCTATTAATTACACTCCTGTTGGTAGTAAGCAAATGTTAAACACCGATGTGGTGAGATGTGTCACACTAGAAACTATTAACAGACACATAGAGAGTATTAAATCAAGTGAATGTTATGCTTTTACTGATGGTTCTGTGCAGACAAACACTGGTAGAACAGGCTGTGCAATTGTAATATATAAAGAAAAAGAGATGATAGTGTCAAACAAACAAAGGCTGAACAACTGGGCCAGCACAACACAAACTGAACTAACTGGAATCTACTTAGCCACAGACTACCTCAAAGAAAATGGAGGTGGGGTGATATTCTGTGACTCTCAAAGTGCTTTGAAATCAATGAACAGCCCGTCAGGTTCTATGTCTAAAGTTGTATGTGATATTAAAAGGAATGTGATGACTGCCAATGAGAACAACTTTCGTATCGAATTTGTGTGGACTCCGTCCCATGTTGGAATCAGGTATCATGACCGTGCTGATAGACTGGCCAATGAGGCATGTAAGAAAGAAAATGTTGACCGTGACCTTGGCCTGTCCAATGCTGTAATTAAAAACATTCAAGTCAGAATCATGAACTCTGATCTAGAAGAAGTGAGAAATGCAGAGAGACCTGACAGTTGTAGCATTAGTAAATATGAAAAATTTTGTGACAAGAGGTACCGGTATGGCCAGCATAAGGACAGAACCAGACAATGTTATGTAGTCGTGGTCAGAATTAGGCTAGGATACAGACACATCTGGCAAGTTAGTAACGCTGTACCCATACCGGAACACTCTGCATGTAAACTTTGTGATAAACCTTTAAAGCATACACTTGAACACTATATTATTGAATGTGACACTGTCAAAGACTTCAGGCCACCTGACTTATTGTATCTTGAACTATGTAATTACTTCATTGAATGAGGTGTGCTTGAGGACTTTCGTGCTGTTTATCCCAAATTTGCTAGCCCACACTGATTAGTCTTCAATTAGAATATGACTCTAATGTATGTGATCCACTGACCTATATATACTGCTAATGAATATGATGTATGTCCTTCTTTGTGTATGAACCTCTGTCCTGCATGGCAGTGAACAGTGGCATTACCCACATGAATCTGACCTATACAGAGTGTCAATGAATATGATGCATTCTCTGTGTACGAACCTCTGTCCTGTATGGCAGCAAAGATTGACATTACCCACATGAATCTTACCGACGTATATGTATGTATGTGTGTATGTGTGCATATGTGTATATATATGTACATGTATATGTGTATGTATATATGTATATGTATGTATATGTGTATGTGTGTGTGTGTACATATATGTATATGTACTGTCAATGAATATGATGCATCTCTTTGTGTACGAACCTCTGTCCTGCATGGCAGTGAACAGTGACATTACCCATATGAATCTGACCTCTATACATTTATAGCTGTTAATGAATATGATGTATTTCTTTGTGTATGAACCTCTGTCCTGCGTGGCAGTGGGAAGTGATACCACCCTCAGTGTCAAGACCTGACTGAATTACTCAGAATAGGCAAACTGTACTACAAGCTCTGCCAATAAATTTGTTAAACTAAAAACCGTCCTCTCATTCGTCCGTCCGTCCTTACTTATGAATGCCAGTCTTTAATCTCGTCTTGTACGTCAGTCCGTTCGACTATCCGTATGTCCATAAGCATTGTCGCCCGTGCCTCACAAGCGATTTAGCAGGTATACGCAAAAAAATTATCTGGTGTGGACCACTTAGCTTTATTAAATCTCCAGATCTCCCTAAATTACATGATTAACGCAGGTGTTATAACCGGCGAATTTTTCACCAAAGTCAAATTAATAACTGATAAATCTCCGTTTCGCCCGAATTTAACCCCAGAATAAGTTTTAATTAACAGATCAATATGCCAGTCTGTGGTGAATAACTGATATTTAGATAATTCTACCGATTAACAGATACTTTACATTGGAAAATTGCTGTAGTCTTTAGTCAATCAAATTATTTTTATAGGGAAAGTAAGGCTATAAAACTAGCACTAACAAATAAAAATCATAGATTGGAGGCGTGGTAGGGATCACTGTAGTTTGTTTTATTGGGAGGTGGGACGGGTTGATGCGTTTTTTTGGGGGTGTGGGGGCAAGCGTGGCGGTCACCATGACAACAGGCAGCTCGACGGGACGCGTCCACCCTGACAACAAACGGAATTTAAGGATAACTTTAAGCAGTTTATGCATTAATTGCAAAATCAAGTTATTCTATATATGTAGATGTGCAATTAACGGAGGATAAGCCTTGTAGCTTCATGTCAAGTTAGCATAGGTAATATTTGAAATATACACTGTGACTGTCAATAGGAAATAAGAAATGTTTACTCAACATTGGAATACAGTTTATTGTAAAATAATTCGAATGCTTTAACTGAATTTCTTTGAGTAAATTGTATGTATTCTAATATAATTACAGATTTAAAGTAACTTCAAGTTGTGTTAATTCCTAGCCATGAATACTGTCTGCGTGACATTAACAGGAGCATGAAATAACATTGCTTGATCAATAATACCGGTGAGGTCATCGCTGCATAGCGTGATTGGCTGCTTCCTGTCAGACAATTTAATGTGATTGGTTGTTTTGAAAAGAAGAAACGTTATGATTGGCTGGGTTATGTCCGCAACGTGTTCTGATTCGCGGAACGAACGGTAAGCCCGCCCCCTCCCCCTGTACGTGGAGGCGGATATATAAACGGTGGCGCAGCTGAAATGTCAATCTCACTCGTGTTCCGTCGTTACACTGTGTGAGGCTTCAGTCAGCAAAAATGGTAAGGGTTGCTAATTTAACTGTAGTGTGTGGTCTTTGGTAGTACCGATACTTTCTTAGTGAGTTACTCTCTTGAAAGAAGTCCCCAGTCAAAGACTGATCAATCGTGTAATAGCATTTTAACAGCGAACATTCTTAGGATACAGTCTGGTGTCTTGGACGTGTGAAGCCTCATTGCTGCTTAATTTTTTTTAAGATGTCTTGACTTGAAATGTCTAGGTACTTCCGAGATTAGGTATCAACAATGCCATCTCTGTGTCATATACTGTACTATACACAGGTTTTATTTGTCTACAGTGAAACGAAAGTAATATGACAGCAGTCGCTCGTCGGAAAGATATTGATTTACTTACGTGTTTTTAAATGTTACTCCTCCGTAATACTAGTTTAGAAACTCGCTGTTTAAGTTATTTGGTTAAGGTTCAGGTTTTTTATTTTGATGTTCGTTATTTGGTTAGGTTTTAGAGAGAAACGCAAGAAGTAAGTGTAAGGCCAACTCGTTTTAGTTTACACGAAACTTCAAGATTATTGATTTTAGTGTATTCATAAACAAGCAAGATACTTCTAATAACGTTAAATGTGCAATCGAATAATTGTGCGACCAATGTGTAGAGCGAAGGTATATCGTCACGAAATAGCTAACCAAAATCTTTATGCTGTACAGGTTAGGTTACTTGGGGGGCGAGCAAAGTGCACGGTGAACCAAGTAGAAGGAAAGTGACATTATTTCAGTGTTGGGAAATAATGAGTGAGAGCATTAAGATGAGCAAGGATTTTTAATTGTTGCATTATTGCATACGCTCAGCAGTGTTGTAAAAAAACCCGTAGCTAATGGTACGGACAAATCCTTGTCCCGCGATGGCCGAGAGATTGATCTCGTCCTGTTATCTCTTGCTCGAGGTTAGGTTTCTTAAGATCATTATTTTTTTCTGCCATTGTGAGGCCTGTCGCGATTTGTCTGTACGATTGGTCTTTGCTGTATAATTAGATATTTGAATTTGCGAAGAAAAATTCATGAATCAAGAAAGATGAACATAAGTTTACAAACCCGAAAATAATGCCTCTAAAATGGGATAATATTAAAATTAAAGAGGAGGTACTAGAGATAATGATGCGTTTAGCTAGGTCGGTCAATTTATAGTAGTGCATTGTTCATTCTATGGGTATAAGAAATGTGTAAAGAAAAAAAATTACCGAAAACCAGCCAAACCTAAACTAATCAGGGGGGGGGGGGCTGATTAGGTTAAGTTAGAACGGTGCACTCGTGTAAAGAGACAGTTAGGACACTAATCGTACGCCCAGTATCATTGTGCTAGTTTGGGGATATGTGTAAATTATTAATTCGACAAATCTGTCAAGAAGATTGCATGCCGCTAAGACGATTTCTTCTAGACTAGCCAGACGTCCCGCTTTAGGCATGACACTCCTGCTTTTGAGCACGCTGTCCTCCGTCCTGCGCCACCTCAAGCAGGGCGTTAATTTGTCCTTCTCTTTTGGGCCTGTCTAAAAAGAATTATATAAATTACCTTACGTATACTAAAACAGTGGGAACTGAAGGCCACCTTGGTGAGTAGGCTACTTCCTTTAGTTTGTGAAGTAAGTTAATTTGGTTAGCATACAGTATGTTCCAGCAGGAGTAAAAATGTATATTCCTTTCTTTCAGCTCTTTATTTACACTGTATGAATGCATGTATCATGTATGTAACATATACGGTGCGTTTAAAAAAATTAAATTTTAGAAAACCACAATAGCCTTCATTAACATTATAGTGATATTTGACAAATCAACACTTCTAATTATATTTTGTATATTTAAACAACTTTTTATATTTCAACTCATCTTTAAACATGTTTAATTTAGGTTAAAATTAAGTGTCGTAAAAATTTCACAAATTTCCTTTTTTTTTTCTTTTTTTTTTTTGGAAATGGCCACCCTACTCACACGGACGGCGACCGTTATTATGGAAGTGCCGCGCCTAGTGGGTAGGCTGGTTTAAAAAAAGTGTTTATAGCTCACCCTGTATTAGGATGAATTAATTATAGAAATATAATGCTAATTATATTATGAATAATTTATTTTAAACATTAGTTGAGTACATAATCAATTCTATTACGAATAATAAACTGCAGTAATAATAAAATAATACAATGTTATTTCTGTCAATGATGTACTACGGGGTATTTGTAAAATTCACCCAAGCTAAGACGTTCTTCATCCATCTTGCAGTATTTCTCTCGGGGTTGAGGTGGAGCTGCACCTAAACAAGTTCGTTGTAACACTGATTTTCTGCTTGTTCCTTCTGAGTGCTAAAATCAGTTCATATATACACATTAAGATGGGGCTTGCCATCCCTCCATTATTTTGTTAGTTCTGGAGTTATACTCCTTCCACATGGACCATTGAGCCATGTTTCCTTGTAGTATGTCACAGTTACTAGACTGAATAGGTCCTGCTGAATTTCTTGTAATATTACAACACCCTTGTCAATGCCGGGGATTACATTCCACGAGACGATTCCCGGATAGACAATCTTTTTCCACTGAGTTCAAGTAACTTGACAACAGGTCACGTGAATATTAAGCTTGTCAACCTGGCTTACGAATTGGATCTACAAATACCGCGCCCGGCTGCGGTCTCCTTTGATGATGTCAGGTAGCACATTCCTCGATTTATGCTGAATCGACTTAAGTAAACCATACATATTTGCCTAACGTATCAACCCGTAGTATTGTTAATGCGGTAAGCCAGGATCTTTGTGTAAATATTGCATTCCTGATATACTTCCGCCCTTAAATCTATGCTGGTAAGAATAAAACTACCAGTGATTCTACAGCAGTTGTGTACAGAATTCCATGTTACCTACAAGGCCAGAATACCCACAAAGCTGTAGCCTTGGTCCCTCGAATTTGGTCTTTAATTTGTATTTCTTAAGCTTAAGTCTGTTCGCAACTCCATAAGATGGTAAATATCTTGTTTGTTATGACTGCTATTATATACAAGATTAAATTCCCCCTTTTTATTCATATAATATATGGTAGTACGTATACAGGCCCATCCCTCTTGTTAGCCTTAGACTCCTCACAACCTTAATTCAGCTAAATTTGACCGGGGGGTATAAACGCCGCATAGTGAATGCCATTTACTCTTGTATTCTGAAACCTCTGTCAGCTGTCTTCCAGACATTGCTCCGGTTGCTGTTAGTGCTTCCTCGACCACCTCGAGTTGACTCTTCCACCAGCTGATATCGATTGGCTGAGTGACACCCTTAAAACCTGGCCGCAAAAATAATGGATAGAGAGCGGCAACATTCTATTTGTTCCGTGCATGAATTTCAGAAGGAATTAATTTTGTAGAATGGTAGTTTTGACGGGAAAATGGAGGGGGTTGGTGGATGACTAGACAAGATGCGTACGGATTAACGGAAAGTATAATGCATTAGGTTTGGGAGATAGGAAGGGGAGTGTGGTGGGGGAATGGGGGTAGTGCAGTGAGAAGAGACAGGGATAATGGCAGTGCAGTGGGGTGAGGAAGGGTGTTGGTATTCTGGTGGGGAGGAGGAGGATTGACAGGTGCGGAGGGTGAGGGGCAGGCGCATGGGACAGAATGCGTCTTATTGATCCACCCCCCACCCCTCCTGGTGACCACACCCTCATGACCACGCCTCAGTCTTCCCCCTCCCCCCGCGTTACACACATACTGTACATTCATGTGACTGAGTCCTACTATATATATACAGTATATATATATATATATAGTAATTGATAAGTAAGGATATCAAATCTAAACCTTAATGTTGTTAATGAGCCCCAACTTTAATGATATGGTCAGGGGTCCATTTTACCGGTCGCTGTTGCCCGTTGGGTTTAATGTAGACATGGCTGCCACGACGACACGATAAGGAATCCTCGCGGGGTGAGGGGAATTGACGTTCCGAATCCTGACCTGAGTGTTTATGTGGAAGTGGTTTAGGGTGGATACCTGAACACCTATCCAACTCCCAGTTTCTTAGCAGCGCTTGTACACTTCGTTTCACCATTCCCACATTCCTTGTCCCTCCTCACAGTTCACACACCCCCTTCCCAGTAGAGAGTAGACTACTCTTAGAAACCTTTCTCGTTTCGTTATTTGATCACCTACATTGTCCTTTGAATAATATTTTAAATGATTTGGATATTGTTTATTTCTCGCAACCTTTCTGATGTTGATATATTAACATAAGAAAATAAGGAGCCTGCAATAGGCCGGTTAGCCTGTGCATGACAGCTCCTGTCCAGTTACTACCACTCATCCATGAATCTATCTAGCCTCCTTTAAAAACTTCCCAGCGTTCCAGCACTTATTACAAAGTTGCTAAGCTTGTTCCACTCGTCTACCACCCTATTTGTGAACCAGTTTCTTCCTATCTCCCTCCTAAACCTAAACTTATCCAACTTAAATCCGTTGCTACCAGTCCTATCCTGCTCGAATATTATATGAACTTTATCTATATCCTTTATTGATTCCTTTCACCCACTTAAATACTTCTATCATATATCCCCGGACTCTTCGTCTTTCTAGGGAATGCAAGTTTAGTTTCTTTAATCTATCCTGATGTGGAAGGTTTCTAAGTCCCGGAATCATTTTTGTCATTCTTCGCTGCACCGACTCCAGTGAATTGATATCCATTATATAATAAGGGTACCACAACTGAACAGCATAATCGAGGTGCGGCCTGACTAGCAACAAAATAATGTTGCAATATGACCTCCGCACTCTTATTACTTAACTGCTGTGTTCATTCCCGCAAATGTCCATCTAACTTTGTTTATTCTTATCTGAAAGACCATTGAATTTATCTTCAAAAAAAATCGCAGATGGAATTTTGTTCCCTTGATAATATTGATAAGATTCTGTTGTGGGAGAAATTGTCTGGTTGGATTTGTCCTTGCACGCTTACTCCCTTTCCCTGGTCCCATTCTTCCTCCTCTGCACCCCCCAAGGCATTATATAAGTGAGAACGGGTGACACCCAACCTGTCAAGCTTACCTGCTTACTGCGACTATCTCTCTGTGACACATGGTGACTGTGACCCTAACAACAACCAAGGGGGGGGGGTGTACATGAGGATTAAGAAGGAGGGGTTGAGAAGCTGAAAGAAGGAGGGGGGAGACTTAAGAGACGTTACAAGTAAGGCGTTGAAGGTGATAGTGAGAAAGGAAGTGCATTAGTTGACAATGAAATATGAACATCATTTGAAGTACATCTTATTGTAATACAAAGCCAATGAAACGAGTGAAGTACAGTAGGTACATATATCGTATTTTTGAGGGAGGTATAATGGAGACATACATTCCCTTCACCATCCTGCTGGGACAGGACAAGTGTTATATAGCGTATTATCCTCCCGGGCATACCTATTACATTCCTTCCCTGACGGTTCTCCAAAATCTATACAAAGTCTTTAAGCGTGACTCCCGACTGTGAGGTGTGTAGACAACGTGGCGCCCACCTCCATCAACGCCACCCCCAACCTTGCCCACACCTTCCCCTCACCTCTCGTCCCACCTACCTGATACTCGACGGTGACTCGCTGTCCAGGCCAGGTGGTTTTCATTACCTCCCCCTTCCCCTCCCAAGCAATGACTCTCTACTCTTGATATATACATGTACACTCAAAATATTCGCACACGTGTACGTAGAGATTCACTCGACGATTGAAGCATTGCCATGTGTTCACACTGAAATCTTACACAAAAAAATCGCGCGCCCACGCACACAAAGGACATACCTAAGCAGATTCACACTGAAAATCTACTTATTATCGTACATAGGCCCAGGTACTTATTGTACACGCACACCCTAAACGTGCTCTTGTTTTGTGGATATTGCAGCGCGTCTTGCGTAGTATGATGTAGTCATTTTTTCTTCATAATCTTCGTTGCCAGTTAATTATTTTGTGTATTTCTGTTATTCCCTTTTCGTCATATTCTATTCGTATCCGTCCATCTCACTTCACAATTCATTTACTGTCACTTTTAATACTGCATATCAAGGGATACACGCTCATCAATGAAGTGATAGGGAGAGTGATGTAAGACAAGTGTAGAAAGACAGGGAAAAGGCTAGAATAAAACCTATAATTTACGTTTCTCCCTTGTGTATGTACAGTACCTGTGTCCACTTTGCGATTACCACTAAGATTACCAGTACATTAACTTCGCGCTGTGAGATGTGTGACGATACGGTCTACACCACAGCAAGGTTCAGGCTTAGAGACTTGCACTGCGACTACATAATACCTTTCCGCTTGTCACGCGCTCTTCATCCGTACTTTCTATACCCTGACTCTCACCGTCAGAAGTTCCTCATGCGTCTCGTGCCAGCATTAAAATGTTTAGCTCGTCAAGAGTATACACCTAATCGGCGGTGTGGTGGGGAAGCCGCATCAGGCACCCTGCGAAAGGTGTTCCTAGTCCAGTCTACCTTACGTTGGCCTCTAGGTAGGTGTGTTGCGTATATTTTTGTAGACGTTTTGGCCTGACTCGTGTTGTGCTCCTCTCTCTGGAGCCTGTAACACCAGGGGGGGGAGTTATTGACTTCTGTGTGACAGCCGGAGTTAATGAAGGTGTGGAATCGATATCGACACAGTCATCTATTTACAGATTAACCCTTGTATTGACTCAGACACGCTCTTCCGGCGAGCCACGCTCGAGCTTGATTTGTTTACCTCCAGGTTACCATGGTGACGACTTGGCGCACTAGTTTGTCCAAGAGCGTGACATTCCTTGCATTTTTGTTTGGAGATTCGTTTTAGCAATTGAAGAGTTTATTTGTATTATCCATGGATCGTTGGAAATTTGACATTTCATAAATATTATAAGGCTTTTTTTTTTTTTTTTTAAGTCGCCATTGGTGTTTTAACTTATTTCCGTTGATAATTGGGCGAGTTCAAATTTTATTGTAAGTAATGTGGATAATACTGCAAATGTGTCAAAAGTTTTGTGGGCATTGCTCTATAGAATCGTAGGAATTACTTGGTCAAGGTTAAAACCGACAAGGAAAAATAAACATTGCTCGGCTTGGGTCAGTACTTGTTGAAAGACTACAATCACTGCATACTCAAAAATAATCTTATTGAAATCCGCTGGAGGCACTCCTTGGCCGTTGATTGTTAAGTAGTTTAAAAGATATATGTTTTGGGAATTCATCCAACCTAATGAAGACACGGCACCAGTCAGCCTCCCAACTGCCGCACTTTCCCACGCCAATTGTCTCATGGCAGGTCCATTCACTCCTTCCATGGAAGCTTGTTCACATGAAAATGGGACAACACACAACTCATTATTTTGGGGTTAGGTTAGGAACTGTTTATATTCCCCTTTACCAAGAAGTTTATTAACCCTGCTCCTGTGGTGCCATCATTAATTTTCTCCCTCTCCAGTGTGTTAGTTGCTGGGTAAGCTTGCTTTTTCCATCCTGCCTTGGTAGTCACCTTAACCCTCACATGCACAGTCAGGGAAGAGGCAGTCCCTCTTAAAAATAAGCTCCCGTGATGAATCCAAAGTGTAACGCGTATACTGTATTGTGAATGTATTAGTTATTCCATTTTCGATATATTTTATTTCATTATCAAAATTATCTTATGTGAGAATCTCGTTACCGATTTAAGTTCTTTTGTTTTGTATGTAGTAGGCAACTATGAAACAGGGAGGTACTACCGCCTGTGAAGAGGATAGCATAATGTGTTGTCTAATGATGACCCTGCTACCATTGGCATCTTAAAAATTGTGACTCGGTTCCAAGTTGCTGCTCTAACTTTCTACCTCATTTACACAATTGTAGGGTTTCTCTTATTTTGACAACACAACATACGTATATATCGTTTCTCACTATTGATTTTGTTATAATTATTGTTTTTATATATGGTCCTTTATTATTTCAGGTTTATATATTTTCATTTAATATTTTTATTTATTATTATTATTATTATATGTATATTTTCGCCCCCCAGGTCGTGATGTGGGTCATTGACCTGTTCCCTGTGGGATCCCGTAAAAAAAAAAATACAATATATTGGTTGAGACATTTCACCAGGACGAGATCCCTAATCGTATGAATGCAGTTGTACTGCATATTCTCGAGTTTAACAATAGGTTAAACAAAACCAGCATTTGATGATCTTGGAGATCTGTTTAAAATGGGGATGCAATTTTATTCGAGGTAAAGATTGCTGAAATGCAGTGTTTGGTAAGTACTATTGCTTATGCCAGAATATTGACATATTGGGAGTTATAACTGACAGGGCTGTCCAGCTAACCTTGCCTTGTACATATTCTCACTATTAAGATCCTTATGAACTTGGTATTACTTCCCCTACCTTCAGAAAAATCCTGGCTGATTTGCTGACCTCAGCAGGATCTTTGAATGTGTAAACACAGTAAAAAGGCATCACGTTATTTAAGAAACCATGACACCACGGACAAGGATAGTGGAATATGGGTGTAAGATAATTAATGAAATGGTGTTGATATTATGCCTGTTCTAGACGTAACTAATATGGCCGTACCGTAGGTAAAACTGGCCATACAGGCACGCTTACCAACTCTCCCGGCACATCAGGTGATTTATGGATCATTACGGAAGTCAACCTTGCGCGATATATATATATATATATATATATATATATATATATATATATATATATATATATATATATATATATATCATATATATATATATCATGTGATTAAATTTGATAAAATCACTCTGGGAAAAGGGAAACAATGTGATTTTATCAATATATATAAATCGCCAGTCAGGCGGTTAAAGGATATTCAGACTCTTGTTGGACACAAACATTATAGTTCTGTCAAACCTGTTAAATACAATTCATTTAGTATTTCAAATAAATCATGCATGGAACTCCTACATAAATGTTTAATCCAATATATATTTACATAACAATCATGGCTATGTAATTAGTCTAATCTTAACACTTACAATGTGTACCATTTTGCCATATTTCTATATTGTCACACTGATAAATGATGCAATGGACACAGTCTACCTTGTACACAATAAGTACTAGTTAAACTTACGTGTTGAAAGCCTAGAGAGAAGCCAGGTAGGTGTTGACTCTAAGATATGGGTAGCTATACTGAAATGCCCACCCTATAGCCTGGCCCATTGGCTGGTCAGCTATGGCTGAGTCAGGTGATTATAATTATACATAAACAAACTCCCCACACGCTCCAACCTTTCTGGGCCTCTCATCTCCACCATCTTCGTACTTCTACATACTGCATACGGGCAGGCACACCCAATAAACATGACATGACTTACAGCCTAACATAATGTTTGTTTATGTGTTTGCTGCTTGCGGTAACAATATATATATATATATATATATATATATATATATATATATAGAGAGAGAGAGAGAGAGAGAGAGAGAGAGAGAGAGAGAGAGAGTTTATTTATTTTTTATTTTTTCTGTGTACATACCTTCCCACACCAGTCAGGGAGGCCTACTTTTATCTCACCTTATTTGTTGTTTGCTTTCTTCTCCGGTTTCCTACCACCCAGCAGAGTACCTGAAATAATTTCTCTCCTTCCAGCGTGAGTGTATCAGTGTGCACATTGGTCAGGCTGGCGTTCAGATTGGCAATGCTTGCTGGGAGCTGTATTGTCTGGAACATGGCATCCAGCCGGATGGCTCCATGCCTTCCGACAAGGCCATTGGAGGCGGTGACGATTCGTTCAACACCTTCTTCAGTGAGACTGGTGCCGGCAAGCACGTCCCGAGGGCAGTCTTCGTCGACCTTGAACCTACTGTAGTTGGTAAGTTACGTCGACAAGCGCGCTTGTGCATTATGCAGAAGACCCGACAGCCGCACCCTTGTCCACTACATGGATGTCCCCACAACAACAATTCCGTGACGCCTGCTGGGCCACCACTCCACGACCCCCTGACGAAGACACGATGATCCTCCCCACACTGGCCAGATATTATGTAAATAATATTGATGTGTTGAAGGAATATCCTTCCTCCCTTAGGCTTTAGTAAGCCCCTTTATAATGTTTATATATATTTGACACTTGCCAGATGCTTCTGGTGTTATTGTACTGGTATACTTAGTGACAGCCCTAGGATCCCGGTTCCTCTATCAAGGAATAAAATATTGAAATTGAAAAAAAAATGTTGAAGTCGACAAGTATAACCACCACCCAATAAACCCAGCTGGATTAATTAAAAATTCACTGAAACTATTTTGTAGTAATACTGTACCTACATGAATTTTTTCCATTCCCCATCTAATTTTGTTGATCTTGTTTCAAACCCTTTAGCAATTACTGTAGTTTCATTCTACTGCCTTGAGTTTTCCCCACAACATATCACCCCTTTTCCACGTCTCTTTTTAAGATGTCAAAGTAAATACGACCAATATTATCAGAGGATGTATTGGACATATTAGAATTAACTTAATGATATAATTTTCAGTAAAACCCGTAGATTAGACTGAAGTTTACGACATTACAGATTGGCTTAATTCCAGTTTAATTAAATTATATTAATGGTTTTGTTGATGGTGAATTTATATCACAGATGAAGTGCGGACTGGCACCTACCGACAGCTGTTCCACCCAGAGCAGCTCATTACAGGCAAGGAGGATGCTGCCAATAACTATGCCCGTGGACACTACACCATTGGTAAGGAGATCGTCGACCTGGTGCTGGACCGTATCAGAAAGCTTGCCGACCAGTGCACAGGGCTCCAGGGTTTCCTCATCTTCCACTCATTTGGTGGTGGCACTGGTTCAGGCTTCACGTCTCTCCTCATGGAGCGACTTTCTGTTGACTACGGCAAGAAGAGCAAACTCGAGTTCTCCATCTACCCTGCCCCACAGGTAAGGCCTGCTCAAATCTTACCCACCAGTTATAACAAATTGTTTCCCTATTCTGTATAAATTAATAAATCAAGACAAATAGCTACAGTATTTGTAATACCGTACCATACTATACAGTGCATGCTCACTCACTGGAAATCTAACCATTAAGGGCAGAGATTTCTCTCATCTCAATGAAATCCTCTGACGTTGGCCAGAATAAAATACCCTAGTGCAACCCTGCCCTCTAAAGGGTTAACCGAGATGGATTTTTACCCTTTGGGGAGCAGGGGTTTCTCTTGGTTCAATAAAATCGTCTGGCGTTAGCCAGTATAAAATACTGTACATAAGTGCAACACTGCCCTATAAAGTGTTAAACTAGATTATAATTTATCTCGCTTCAAATGTTGAATGTACAGTATAGCATTAAGTTGAAGTCTGTTAAAGTTATATGACTATTGTGTGTCTGGTGCAGGTGTCTACAGCTGTAGTTGAGCCCTACAATTCTATCCTGACAACCCACACCACTCTTGAACATTCCGACTGCGCCTTCATGGTTGACAACGAAGCCATCTACGACATTTGCCGCAGGAACTTGGACATCGAACGACCCACCTACACTAATCTAAACAGACTCATTGGCCAGATTGTTTCCTCTATCACTGCTTCCCTTAGGTAAGTTGCACAATAAAATAGGAAAGAAGGGGTCTGCTTCTGTAGATAATTAAATTTCAGAGACCACTTGCCTCTCAATTCACCTAATTTTAATGAGATCAGGCAAAATGTTGCTGTACGACACAATTCGGCATACAGTATTAAAGTTTAAGTGGTACATCCATTTACATTCATATCATATCCTCATGCCTCTGACTAACTCGTCTATATCCTTGGCAGGTTTGATGGTGCCCTTAATGTTGACCTGACAGAGTTCCAGACCAATCTGGTGCCATACCCACGTATTCACTTCCCTCTGGCCACTTATGCCCCTGTGATATCTGCCGAGAAGGCCTACCATGAACAGTTGTCCGTGGCAGAGATAACCAATGCCTGTTTCGAACCTGCCAACCAGGTCAGCTAAATAAAAAAAGCAGAACTTTTTTGTTAATACTATATTCTATTATCATTTATATTTAGTACTGATGCATTGCCATGAATGATTTGATTATATCTTATTACCGTATTATGTAATGTGTACGAGCAGATGGTGAAGTGTGATCCCCGTCACGGGAAGTACATGGCTTGCTGCATGTTGTACCGAGGTGATGTGGTGCCCAAGGACGTCAATGCTGCCATCGCATCCATCAAGACAAAGAGGACCATCCAGTTCGTTGATTGGTGCCCCACGGGTTTCAAGGTGAGGGATAGCAGTGAATGGTGTTCGTTAGGACAAGATGTAATGTATGTCTGTACAGTATATGTGCCGTGATAGCTAAATCTCATGGTGCGTGGATGTGTATTAACAATATTTGCACATTTGTCTGGTATTCAAAATTGGTACAGTACAGTACAACAAATTTAATAAATTAAGGATGCAGTAAATAAATCTTGAAAATTATATGGTCAGTAATGCAATTAAACAATTTTAAGTACAGTACAGTAAATATAACTACCATAGATAATTCCTGTGTTTTATATAGCATAGCCTCAACCCAGATCAAAATGCATTCCGAGGGACTATTGCACTACTGTTGTAAATAATTTAATCATTTTTGTGTCAGGTGGGAATCAACTACCAGCCTCCAACGGTGGTTCCTGGTGCTGACCTGGCCAAGGTGTCCCGTGCTGTGTGTATGTTGTCCAACACCACTGCCATTGCTGAGGCCTGGGCGCGCCTTGACCACAAGTTTGACTTGATGTATGCTAAGCGTGCCTTTGTCCACTGGTATGTGGGTGAAGGTATGGAGGAGGGAGAGTTCTCAGAAGCCCGTGAGGATCTGGCTGCTCTTGAGAAGGACTATGAGGAAGTGGGTGTTGACTCCACCGAAGCTGAAGATGAGGAAGGTGGCGAAGAATATTAGGACAGAATAAATGAAGAAGAAAAGTGAGAAGACTGCCAGACGCAAGTGCCTAAAGCTATGGGGGCAAGGAGGAAGAGGGTAGTAGATGGCTCCAACAAGCTCTTGGCCCAAAGATTAGATTAAGTTAACAAAGTTATACAGATTGAATGTAATACTGTAATGAAAAGGTACCCTAGTTGACTGGGAGGGTTTGGGGTTTCTTAATCATCCTGTACATCCCTGTTTAATCATTGAGATACATGTACATTTCATTTAATATGGCGGCACAAGAAGTTGAAATTTCATTAAAAGGTAATTTACTTAAGTTTTTTTTTCCGTCTCTTAAATGAGCCAAAGTTTGTCAAGGAAAGTAGCTTATCATACATATTACATCATGTTATGTAATTCCCATAAACAAGTTTTATTTTTTTTAGAAATTTTCTTTTATAAGGAATAATACTCTGGGTGGCTTTTGAAAACAGCATTTATACAGTAGTTACAACACCGTCTAGTCAGGTAGAGGTGAGACCTACCTACCTCCCATGCTCACTCTACCACTGGAATTCTCAATCAGAAAGACAATCGTTGACTTGTAATTCTTACTCATATTGGCCATCCAATAAACAGTAACAGATCAAAAAATTTGTTTCTCTCCTACACTCCTAGGTTTTGTTAACCAAGGTCCTGTGAATGTTAGTAGACTTTTTTATTTACATAAATGATTTTTATACCTACTAAGCCAAGAGTCGAGTATAACATGTAGGGTTTGCTATTTTTGTGGGTTGCGCCTCGTATATCAAAAGCTCCGCCAAAGCACCTGGACCATCCCAGTTATGATCCTCTTGAATCGCTCATTTCATCCAGTGAATTGTGTTTTTAAGTAAATGTGTCATATGACTCAAACTAAAATCAAAACCATTATGTTAAGTGTAAATAGGTTAATTATGATCATAAGGACTTATTGTGAGTAGCAAGGTGGACAGTACTGTACAGTATTTGTACCCGTGTTCTGAACTTGCTAACTCCCTCAACTGCCCAAGGTTGCACATCATGTGGGCCCAAGTACTAAAAGCAGCAATCTAATTAATAGAAATGAACCCCAATCCTAAATGATTAGCTTGAGACTTTTTAAGAGTTGGGACCTGCTGCACAGAAACCTAAATGACGGGTGGTAAGATTTTGTGGGTATAGAGCTCAGGGAGGTTGTAGCGACAGTTAAAAGGGCATTTTGGGTGTACAGTACTGTATAGTACAGCATATGTACAAAGTATATGTAATACATAGTAATTGAAAATTAGAAAAGTTTTTTTATCAAAGTTTTTTGGAGGAAGTAGAATAGTAGAGCATATATTTATTTAGCAAATGGCCTCCCACTAGAGGTGACCATGCCAAGATGCCCGCCCCACAAGGGGTCACAGCTCAAAGTTGAAGAAGCCACTGTAATAGCCCGTCTCATAGGCAGAAATATTTATATACCGTAAATGGGTTAATAACATTAGACATATACTCTATCACCCTCTGTAACTTTCCACAAGCTATGAGGTAGCATGTTCAAAGCACGTGATGAGGTGTGCCCACGGGAAGTCGCGTCTCTTGGTGCTGAGTTAAGCATTAAGTAGCCGGCTCTCTGGTCACTTATTGCGGGCAGTAGTTTAATATCCTTGACTAGAGGAAGACGTTATTGAGAGCCATCGTGGATGGTTCCGTCTTCCCTCTAGGGAGGACGTCGGAATTATTTCCGTTCTCCCTCGACGGGTATTACATGCACTCTTACTCAATCCCTCACCCCAACAGAACGTATTTTAGAAGAGCTATTTAATTTTAACATAGCCGTCCTCATTTAACACTCATAGCTACAGTGATTAAGTTACGGTGATACTCCTTTTTAAACGTGTACATAGAACCTTTTATAATAAACAGAAAAGGAACACATTGGATTTCAGTACAGAAGGTCCAATAATCTTTGATCTATATGTTAGTATGTCTAAAATATAAGGTAACGTGCTTCTCAAGTGATTGTTACATGTGGTGACAACCCAGGAAGGTTATTATATATATGGCAGTTTCACAAGTAACTGTTATACACTCTAACAGTCACCTCAACAGATACACAGTTGGTAAAGGTAGAGATATTATGTTCAACCCCATTACTGTGTTATACTACTGCTACCTAAGAAGAAAACGTTATACTACAAGTCCAGAAAACTGAGGGCAAACATTTTCGGAACGAGAATTGTGAACTTTTGCAACAACATGCCAGAGAGTGTTGTGATGGTACCGAGTGTGAGTTCTTTCAATGCCAGATTTACCAACAATGGAGTATGTTCAGATACATTCAGGAACCAGTGCATGTCCAGTACTTGCCAACAGTGCGTAACAGAAAATAAGGAGTCTGCAATAGGCCGGTTGGCCTGTGCATGGCAGCTCCTGTCGATAGTTACTACCACTCTCTATCAACCATGAATCTATCCAGTCTCCTTTTGAAACTTTCCAGCGTTCCAGCACTAACTACATAGTTGCTAAGCTTGTTCCACTCGTCCACCACCCTATTTGTGAACCAGTTCCTTCCTATCTCCCTCCTAAACCTAAACTTATCCAACTTAAATCCGTTGCTTCGAGTCCTATCCTGCTCGGATATTATAAGAACTTTATCTATATCCCCTTTATTGATTCCTTTTACCCACTTAAATACTTCTATCATATCTCCCCGCACTCTTCGTCTTTCTGGGGAATGCAAGTCTAGTTTCTTTAACCCATCCTGATATGGAAGGTGTCTAAGTCCCGGAATCATTTTTGTCATTCTTCGCTGCACCGACTCTAGTGAATTGATATCCATTCTATAATAAGGGTGTAATGATCGTGATGACGGCTAACCTGAAAACCTTAAGGATTCATATTACGCTCAAACGTCCACAAAACCTTATGAGTCCCCCAGTGGAAACGTCCCCCGTTTTCTCTGTTTCCCCGTCTTTGTATGTGGGAACTTTGAATATAATCCACGGATTTAGTAGCAGACGCTGTATGTTGGGACCTGTTGCCATCCAACCCTTTGTAATCAATTTAATTTTGCTTTGATAGCTGAGTCAGAGCATTGTTAGTGAAGATAATAGTAGGGAATGAAAATGAGTTCATAGTCTCAGTTTCAACGTCAGAGTGTACAGTAAATTAATTCATCGGAATAGAAGTAGGTGGACTCCCTGCTCTGTTTTGAGTGAGGGCCCCGCGGGCATTTCTACCGTTAGTGAGTGCCCGTCCCTTCATCCATACAGGTATGCCATTCCACTCTGTGTTGTAATTCGCCCTTCTTTAAGTGATTTGACCAAATTAATAGTTGATTGTGCAAGTGTTACAGTAACGTAGTTGATATGCTCTGAGTGAAGTCATATTTACGTCTTTAACGTCCCCTGAAACGTGAGGTTGTTGTCACTGTTAGTGAGTGCCCATCCCTTCATCCATACAAGTCCCCTGACGCTGCCCCGTTTGTCTCCCGATCCCATTGTAATTCTTGAATCGCTCTACCATCCAACAACGGCCTCGGATGTATTAGATGTCCAGCCGGGATCATATATGAGAAGATGGCACCGATGCGGCCTGATTAATGTGCCCCACGGCTTCGTTGGGCCAGACCCCAGACCCGCCATGTGTCTGGCTACCCCACAATAACAACAGCCCCAGTGCTCTACCCTGGGTTACTCCTTGGAAGTATATGTCCACAGAGAGTGTTGTAACATGTATGTTAGGGATAATTAGTTGGAAATAATTATCCCATGTTGGGTAGTGGACCCCTGCATATACTAGTGTCATTGTTTACGTATATGTTGAATAATCTACAATGAGTGCCATGTAATGTACCACCAGTAATGTTGTGAGTAAGAGTAAAGAAGAAGGTACTGAGTTTGCACTAAGCCCAGGAGGTGAGCCTGGTAATTATATGATTAATACAATATCTTTCCCCCATTGATTGCATATTAATAAACTTGTTTTTAGAATACTCTAGGTGTATTCATTTCTCCCACAGTATTTTACCTTTATTTCCATCCAAGTGACCTGATACCAAAATTACCATACTCACGTGCCTAGACCCTCGACCATGTTACCAAAAGAATGCCCATGCTACCAAAAGAATGTCCATGCTACCAAAGAATAGGTGACGGAACTGAGTAAGAGTAAGAACTAAGAGAAGTAAGTAAGATGAGGGAGGTGTAGAAACAGAGAGGGAACCCGCCCCCTCACATTGGTGGCAAGACCAAGAATCCGCCCCCTCACAAGGGCACCAGAACTGAACCGCATAATCGAAGTGCGGCCTGACTAGCGCAAGATATAGTTGCAATAAGACCTCTGCACTCTTATTATTTGCACTTCTAGATATAAAACCCAATACTCTATTTGCCTTATTTCGAACATTAACGCACTGTTTTCTAGGCCGCAGGTCCGGTGCACTGCGCATCATTGTCATTCCTAAAAACCCCATTTAATTCATATTACGCTATATAACATTCAAATCCACCGCGCTTGTAGAACCTCAGAAAACGGGAAACATTGATAAAGGATAACTCACCTACTCAATGCTACTAGACCATGTGTTGTATTGTACCCAGGTACAGTTATATAATGTTAATTGTATGTATTCATAGCATTAAGGAGAATTCAGGGTATCCATAAGATGATTGGGAAAGTCCAGTTGAGCCGGGCTAGTGTACTGTAGGACTAAGTGTGGATCAGGGTTTGAAGGTCATACTATTTACGTCTGTGAACGTGTAGCGAACATAACTTCCACAGATATCATATGAAAATACATGAGAACAATGATCTGGAAAAAGGATAAAGGCATCACAACTATGTGAAGTGTTGGAAGTGATCTAGAAACTATGCTTCAAAAAGAATATCTTGTATACCCACGCCATGAAAATACGACGCTAGGCTTTGTTTGGGTTGGCGCCTAGGCCGCCTCGGGTGTGCCGCGTTGATATTATAACCCAATGAATTTACCCACGAACTAGCAAACCAAGACCTTACCTTAGTGTGTAATTTAGGATTAAAATATGTGTTTATACGGCATGAGTGGCAATATACCGAAAAGTGTTCAGGTGAGAACCGTAAGAAATAAAAGTAAAAATTAAAGATTGGAAACTGTAGGCCTACGAGGTGATGAGCGGCAGGGCACTGCCCTCAGTACCCTCCGTTCTACCGTCACCTCAGGTCAGTGTCCTATCGAGCTATATCCCGCCCTATCATTAAGGCTTGTATAGAAGTTATTACAGTTTAAAGCTTTGCCTGATGTATAAGTGTAATAGTAATGTGTTAGGGGGTGTGATAACCACCCGTCAGGCATTATTTAACAGTACCCTCCGTTCTACCGTCACCTCAGGTTCCATGCGGTCGGAGTGCCTTGCTGCCCGGCAGCCATTATCCCTATGAGCGTCCCAACAGGTGGTGACTACTCCCAGCTATGCCACTCCACTGTGAACCTGTGGATTTCCAGCACACCACTCCAAATGAGTAAAACAAATAAGGAGACCATGAGAAACTCTGCGGTCGTCACTTGGAGCGACCTATAATACCAGGCATAGAAATAGTACTGGTATGTCTCTGGGTGAAGCCCTCGTCTTTACCCACCGAGGGCGGTGTGCGAACGAGGTGCCTGTTGTGTATACATAAAAGTTACAAGGAGTCCCATACCTGCAGGGGTGGAGTGTAACATGTGTGTTGAGATGGTACTACTATGTATGATAACCGACGGTGCTATATTCCATACAGGTGGAGCAGTCTGATGTGTTAAGGGATAGTGTAAGAAGGAATGACTGAGGTAAGGAGGTCACAGATTGTTATGCAATAAGTATGTGGATGACACGCCATTAATGTAAGACGTCTGGTGCCCATCTGGGTAACCAACATTTTCGTTGTTCTTCCGAAGAAGACCAATTCATTTGTATGTTTTTTACCAGTATGCTTTATAAGGAATAAATTAATTAAGACATGTTATGGTTTCACCCTTCTTGCCCCTTATCGATCTGGTCAATGGAAAACCTAACCCAATGCCTAGTCCACTCTGCACGCTACCTAACGAGCTACATGCTGTCCAGAGGGGGTCTGGTGGCAGCGACCCTTAGAAGTTAAGACCAGAGTTAAGTATTCCCCCTTAGTATTAGTGACCCCCAGTCTGGCAGTATACCGGGCTTACAAGTACCCCTAGGTCTCTTTCACAAGTCGACCTCTCTAGGTTGATGTTGTTAAAGCTGTATACATTGACAGTATTTTTTCTTCCAGTATTAAGTACGCTGCACTTGCTGGTGTTGAATTTAATTTGCCATTTTTCAGACCACCCCTGCAGTTTATTTAGATCCTCCTGTAATGCATTTGCATCCTGCCCTGAATTAATCTGCCGCCCTATTTTGGTGTCATCTGCAAACTTGCTTATGTCACTGCTGATCCCAGTATCTAGATCGTTTATGTAGATTATGAACAAGAGTGGGCCTAGTACTGACCCCTGGGGAACCTCACTGGTTACACGGCCCCACTCAGATTTAACACCATCTACGCTGACCCTCTGCGTTTTATTGGTGAGCCATGATTTTATCCAATTTAAAACTTTCCCCTCTATACCATGAGCCTTAATTTTTCTCAGAAGCCTCTGATGCGGTACTCTGTCAAATGCTTTGCTAAAATCTCAGTAAATAACATCGTAATTTTCGTCATTATCTACTACCTCAAAGACTTTCCTAAAAAACGTCAGCAGATTTGTTAGACAAGAGTTTCCCTTTGTAAGCCCATGTTGAGAGTCGTAGATTAATTTGCTTTTCTCTAAATGCGATCTGATGCTATCTGCTATAATTGATTCAAGAAATTTCCCCACTACTGACGTCAAACTGATCGGCCGGTAGTTTGACGCTGATGCTCTGTCTCCCTTTTTGAATATGGGTACTACATTTGCCTGTTTCCACAAGTCTGGCACAACTCCCGTGTCTAATGATTTTGTAAATAAATTTACAAAGGGTCCGCTAATCTGTTCCCTACACTCTTTCAAGACTCGAGGGAAAATTTCATCCCGCGCTGGGGATTTTGTCTTCTTTAGTTTATTTATCCTCTTAAGAACATCCTCTTTTCTGATAGTGATATTCTTTAATTTCTCTTCTTCCTTCCCCCTAAATATCAGTTCCACCTCTGGAATTTCCTCTCGAATTTCTTCTGTGAAAACTGATAAGAAGTAGTTGTTCAATGCTTTGCTTATTTCTTCACTGCCATTTATCACTTCTCCCCTCCCTGACTTTAAAGGCCCAACTTTGTCCTTGACTTTTGTTCTATATACCTGGAAAAATCCCTTGGGATTCGCCTTGGATTCTCTTGCTATTTTGACTTCATGGTCTCTCTTTGCTTTCCTTACATTTTTCTTAACATTCCTAGATAGTTCATTATACCTATTTCTGAGCTGCTCCTCCCCTTAAGTGGGTGAAAGGAATCAATAAAGGAGATATAGATAAAGTTCTTATAATTTCCGAGCAGGATAGGACTCGGAGCAACGGATTTAAGTTGGATAAGTTTAGGTTTAGGAGGGAGATAGGAAGGAACTGGTTCACAAATTGGGTGGTGGACGAGTGGAACAAGCTTAGCAACTTTGTAGTAAGTGCTGGAAAGTTTTAAAAGGAGGCTAGATAGATTCATGGACGATAGAGAGTGGTAGTAAGCGACAGGAGCTGCCATGCACAGGCCAACTAGCCTATTGCAGACTCCTTATTTTCTTATGTTCTTATGTAACTCCCCACAAGACAGTTGCATGACGTCACCAAACCTGCCTGAAAGATTGGAAGAACAAAGTGAAGCTAAAAAAAATAAGAGGCTGAAATGCCGTCAGAATTACACTGATCCCCAATCTTACTATATGTATTTGATTAATATAAGTTAACAGACAGTTTAGTACTTTAAATCATTAAAAAAATTATCCTAATTTTGTTTCCGCAATTATGCCGAGTGAACGTATCCAAAACGTCTGGTAGGATGTCAACAACTTGGGGTCTACTGTCATTAGAAGCACAATATATCATAGGTGGTGCATCTCAGTTTACTGGAGTCAATAAACTAATATAATATTTTGGATGTTTACAAGTATTTGTAGGGAAATAGGTGAGTAGCTGATGCTTTGAAAGGACAGGTGTTCTCCATATCTGTTGGATATAGCAAGCTTAGATGCCGCAGTAACCAGTGAGTGAATTACAAGAACTCTTTTTTTAAAATCATCCCTCACGTTCCCTTAAAAATTACACATGGATGATTTATAATATTACATTAAATTATTAAACCCGCGTAATTCATAATATGTACTAAAAAATAAGATTATACTTTGTATTTTGTAAGCTATTTACAGTGGTCAGTTGAAAATCTAGATAAACAAACCTGATTAAACGCGCGTTTGACCCTCTGGTAACCATGACAACCAGTGGCATGCGTCCCTTGCTTCTTGGTGTGAGGTGAGAGTGAGTTGTGTTGTGTCTGCTGTAACCGTGTAAGTATTGGATAAAATTATTACTAGATTAGAATATTGTCCTGATATCCAGTAGCATCAGTAATAAACAGGGATATGGTGTTGATGCTGTTAGAATTTCAGATAAACAGTTAAGTTATGGTGGTTACTTTATTAATCTGCACTTATCCTTAGAATTGACTGAAATGTAGGCGGACTCACGAAGGGTAGTATTGAGACATGACTGCCAAGTAACAGGTAACCACTGAATTTGCAAGAAAATGAACTTAGTCCATTATTGGGTAATATTCTGAACGTGTTCCACTGTCACACATACGGAGACAGGTATAGATTACAAGCGATGGCTTATTACACTCGACCTGCAATAGATAAAATGTGTTTTAGCCATTATAAACTTGAAAAAAAGAGTAAAATTATTATTGAAATATTATGAAAAATCTATTACTTACGCGCTTCCGTGCACGGTCTTAATATTTAGTGTTTTCCATCTTTATTTACACAATTACTGCACATTGTTCAGTATTAAAGAAACATATGGTTGGACAGGAAAAAAAACGAATGTTTCCACTAAAAATAGTTGTAGTGAACGTGTTTGTACTTAAGTTTGGTTTATGCGGGTTTTTTTCTTTAGTTTGGGTGTGTATACTTCAGAATAGCTGCAAAATACTGCCATGTGCATAAGATCAAGTAAATATCCTGTCTTAATCACAGCATAAAATCAGAGGCGGGAGAGATGGAAGGGACAGCGACGGCGGTGAAGACGGTAGAGGAGGTGGGTGCCTTGTTGCAAGACTCCCGTGGGCCATCCCAGGAGTTGGCTGCTCCCAGGCAGGTCGTTACCTTCACAGGACTCGTCCCCCACACCCAACACAACGATGTCAAGCCCGGCAACCACCCCTATAGGTAAGGTGTGAGAGTTTATGTATCTCTTTCCTATGTGTGTCTGTACGATTGTGTTTGAATGTATCTGCATGTATTTATGCTGGACATGTATTTGGTAAATGTATATCCATTAGAACAGTAGGCAACTGACTTGTTATATTTCATTCTTGCAGTGCGGTGGATGTGACAGGGATGCGGGAGAGGTTGGTGAGGGCGGAGTCCCCACTGCAGACTGTAGAGGAGGCGCGGGCGGGGGAATTCACACCGATAAGATGGATCAATCACCACATGGACCGTCACTGGAACGCCGATTCTCTCCTGGAACGGTCTGATAGGTCAGTGGACAGACAGACAGACAGGCAGATATGGATAACTGGAGAGATAGTTGGATAAGTATAGATATGGCAAGCAAAGAATCAATGTCGGGAAGGAGCCGATAAGTAATTAGACTAACAGATTGATTAGGCAAATGTAAGTAGATATCAACTGGGAAACATAAGTAAAGATAGCTAAGCAAACAGGTTAAAGAGAAGTATTGATAAAGAGAAAGACTGGTTTAGATAGAATGAAGTCGGTAAATATGAACAGTAATGGAAAGTTACGATACAGATATATAGGTAAAAAAAGATGAACAGATAATTAAAGAGAGAAAAAGAGGTGCAGTTGTCTGTGTGTAGGTTGCGAAACAAGAGCCGTCAGACGGAGGCGTACACCGAGGAACGGACGCTCACGGCCCAGAACTCGGTGACCAGGGGACTGGACGACCGCCTCACCTCTACCCTGGAACTCCGCTCACACCTCCACCACGCCATCAACAACACCATCGACGAGCTTGCTCTCCAAGACACCATGAAGACTCGCCTGCAGGTGAGACAAACCGCTGATTATACGTGAGTCCTCTGATGTAGGGTTGCCATATCTGAACATTCAAAAAAGAGGACGCCCCGAAGACATCCCCCCCCTCCCCCGGCACACACAGGCTAATATACAACATACATGGTATAGAAATCTTTAAAAAAAATTACCTTTGCTTAAGGCTGAACATCTTCATTCCCTTAGCTGCAGTCTTCTTCCCCCACTGTGTGTGTGACTTGGTGTGCCTATGCATACTTTTCTGTAGATCGGATCTTTTTCAGTATTGGCTGATTGCTCTTTAGAAAGGTATAGTAGAAGTCACTGCAAGATGTTCCTCGGAAGTTGTACTGTACAGTCAGAATGCCTTTCATTGTTTAACACTCAATTTGTTCCTTTCCTTTGTCCATTGACTTTGCATCAGTGAAAAAACTTTCTACATTTGCATTGCGAGATGATATAGCAAAGAAGAATTGTGCAATTCTGAGTGACATTCAATGTTTGATTTTTCAAAGTATCTGGTCCACTTTTTGTGCTGGCAGATTACTAAATTCTTCATCACTTGTAATTTTCCACAAACTGCTTCAGGTTACTAACTTGATCAAAACACTTCATCAACTTCTACCCACTTATCAATCAAGTATTTGACAGCTAAGTTGACAACACCGTACAGGCGTACAAGTGACTTATCAGCTGACGAAAACTGAACGAGATCTCTACGGTTTCCACCTTCCCTCTCTCTCTCTCTCCCGTCATTACAGTTTCATGTTTTTTTTCCGTGGAGAAAATGATGGAAGATGAAATTCCGGACTTTTGAAGAATTTTAAAAATTCCTTCCGGATGAAGATTTCGAGACCTAAATGGAGGACATGTCCGGGAAAATACGGACGTATGGCAACCCTACTCTGATGCCCCCCCCCCCTTTTTTTATCACCTGAAGAATTGTCACCCCAGAGTTTGGCAGGGTGACAATTCTTCATGTGGGATATCCTGAGGTGACAATTCTTCAGGTGGCAACTCCTGGAGTGACAATTCTTCAGGTGGGGTCAGATTTCTGATTTGTTAAGTTAGGTCAGGTTGTTTTAAGGTTGTGTGACTCCTAGGTGACGGATGGAACCCTTCCCTAACTTTTTTTTTTTTTGAAAATGAAGAATTTTTCTTTTTTTTTAGATTTGGAAGCATTTTATTGGAGAGTGCGAGTCATGTTTTTTTTTAATCTTAGATTATTTTCACAATGAAGATGCATAACACAAAGGAATGTATTTATGTTATCTTAATTATACAAATTATATTCACTGTGGGCTGGGGTGACGATTCTTCAGGTGGAGCAGGCTTGGGTGGCAATTCTTCAGGTGGGATAGCCTGGGGTGACGATTGTTCAGGTGGACATTCTGGGGTGACGATTCTTCAGGTGATCCCCCTTTTTTGAACTAGTGGTATACTGATGATTGTATAATTCCCAAAGGGAACATAGAAATTTCTAACATGAAAATTTTATTAGTTTAAGTAATCACAAGTGACCAGCGGTACTGTCCTAGGCTGCAATATTTACTTATCTAGATGGTACTCTCAATTTCCTTGACCAGTGTCACTTTCACAAATGAAAGTGTTTACCGACTTAACCTCAAGGAATATATTTTCCAGTTTAGAACTATAATCTTCCATTATCTCAAAACACTGTCCCCTGTGCCATTACCACCTGATCTAAGCTCTATCATTGCGATAGATGTCACTGTTTGCGCTGGAGCTGCCGGAGAGGAACAACGAGGAGTGTATACACATCAGGAGGTTCCGACTAGACGTCGACCGCACCCGCGACCCCGTCATCTTCACCCTTAACAAGGTTAGTGACACCTGACCTTCCACACCATCCAGTTACAAGTACCACTAACGACTTACTCTGCTTATTGGTGATCGAGAGATTATTAAAACCAGGAAAATTATCCCACGAAGAATGTTTGTATCATGCAAGAAGTAAATCTCTCTCACTCCCACATCTCAACAGGAAACAGAGGTGCTTCGTACTGGTAGGTCCCTTTTGACAGAGACACTAAATGAAACGGAGGCACAGATCGCTCGTCTGCTGGAGGTGAAAAGGCTTCTAGAACACGACTGGTCAGACAAGCAGGAGGCCTTCCAGCTAGACCACTCTGCTGCCAAGCTCGTCAACCAGACAGCCAATGCACAATTTAAGGTATACCTCCGGGCCGTGACAGCTGTGATGCAGGTGATAGAGGCTGATAAAAGGTGCTGGTGGCAAAAATAAGTAATGGGTACTGATGTACTTGTTAGGTAAGATTAGGTAAGGTTAGGTAAGTGTTAGGCAAGATGTTTAAGGCTTAGGTAAATTGTTGGGATTGAGATAATTGTTAGGTAAGGCATTGGGTCATCCAGGGGCAAAGGTGTTGTAAACACATTCAGATAATGAAACTCGGGTAACCCAACATCTAATCCCTCAGCCAGTGTCGGCGGCCCTGCACGAGGGAGTGTCTGCCCCTGACACCTGGAGCCGCCGTAGCTGGGAACACCTGGATGTGTGCAAAAGGGAAATGAACTCAGGTACCCAGCTGAGGGGCGCTGCCGACCAGGTTAGTAATATACACACAAATAAACTCACATAATAAAGAAACACAAGTGTTAAATTAAACATAAACGTACCTATTAAAATGCACAAACTAATCATAGCACATGAACAGCCATATAAACCTATACTGTATAGTGTATACAGTACAGTACATGCAGATTTAATAACATTAGTAACCATGTCAGGTTATACATTAATTATAGGTTAAGTTACCTGTGGTATAAAGAACTTATATCCTACCAAGTTTATACCACTAAAAATATGCTGATATTTGTAATTTTTAAACTATTTGATTAATTTATTACACCCTAGGGGGCGACAAGCAAAGTCACAAAACCCATGCGGTCATACACTAATAAAGTGGTACTCGTGTCTCGCAGGATCATGTTTAAATGTATGTCTATCGCAAGCCAATAAAGATTTTTTTTTATTTAGGAATATATGAGCATGCCAATAATCACGCATGTTATTTTTAGATCAAGATTTTTTTTTTTAGTTTTACGTATAAGAAACATTTGCAAAACATGCCATGTATGAATGATGGAGAAAAGTGTTGATTGAGTGCTAGGATGTGGCTTCCCCTCCTCCAGGCCCTGCATGCGGTGGCAAGGGATGCTGAGGATGCTGCTGAGGCTACCGATGTGGCCTTCAACACCCGCATACGTGAGCTGGAGGACGCCAAGGCCAAGCTCACCGATAAGGATGCCATGGTAAGACTCACCTCTTTGCTTGTCTGGTAATTACTGGAAAGGAGGCCGTGTCTCAGTCTCATTGGCGTTTCAGGTATCACAAAGGAAACTACGTAAAAATTATATAATACTACAACTCATATTTACATAATATGTAAGTGTAATAGGGTACAGTACAGTCAAATTAACTCCAGTATCTAGCAAATGTATTCTAACAAGATCTTGTGCCTTACTTACTATTGAGTTCATTAAGCTTTCACGGTTGTCTGTGTCCAACACCAGTTACGGAAAGAAATCGCAGAGGAGGAGGGGAGTCTGGCGTCACTGCGTCAAGCACTGCAGGACAAGGAGTCCCCGCTACAGGTGGCACAGAGCCGCCACTGGACCCGCTCCTTCAGGCCCGGTGCTGACCGCTGTCTCGACCACCCCCACTACAGGTACGAAAGGGGGGGAGGGGACATTCTTTAACCATTCCAGGTCATAGGAAGGTCGATAATTTGATCTAATTACCTTCGTTAAGGTTCCTGCGTCCACGTGAGCAGTGATATGTTTTTCTTTAACATATGTAATAGAAGAAATTTTAAAATACCAATCACTCATCGCAACCTAACTTGACCTAACCAAATGTTATGTAACTTTAACCTAATCAAATTATCTAACCCAAGGAATGGTAGTCGTAGTGGTCAGGTTATTCGACAGTGGAAAAAAAAGAAGAGCAATGAAAACAGTGGTTTTAGGGTTAGATAAAAGTGCCAATACTACCTTTTGCCTATGTCCCCAGACTCAAGGACGAGCTGGAGGAACTACCTCAAAGCATCGAGGCGCTCAGGGATCATCTAAGGGCAAGTGAGGACACACTGGAGGAACTTCACCGCCTTCACGAGGACTTCTCCAGGGACATCCTTAACAGGGAACACACCATCAGTCTGGAGCGTCGCTGTGTTACAGTCAGGAGCCTCAGGCAGACTCAAGCAAAGCTGCTGGGCCTGTGATGTGTTTTGAACTTTTGGGTGCTGCATGATGTGCTTGATTGTAAGGGAGTCAGCAGAGTACATTCCGGATCAAACTGTGTGTATATGTGGTGAACTTATTAGTACTATAAATGAGTTATACGGTAACTTATACCACACATCGCTGAACACTTAAAACTATAGTATGAAGAACAAGGTAAGATAAGCCAGCAAAACAAAAACACGCTTTGCGTCGCACTGGGATGTTTTGTTGGCGCATCTGCCCAACACAACGATAACAACAAAGCGTCTAGACGAGGTTCACCATGGATCCCGTTACTACAGTTGAGGCCTTGCAGGATTGTGCTATAGTTCATGAATTGATGAAGCAAGTGAGGCGTCTGCACAAGCTAAAGAAAAGACAAATGGATGCTTCCTGAAGTTTCTTTAAAAGTGGCGGCTGTTGGCCGGTCAAAGAATATTCTGAATAATGATTTAATAATACTAAAGAAGTTTTAAAGTGAAGAATAAATAGAAACATGTCACCGTTTATGTGTTATATTTTAAATTATCATTGTTCCATGATTTATTTAAAATTTTACTTGAAATTATATGAAGCTCATTTGAGCACTAATTCGGCCAGCAAAGATCCCCGACATACCGTTGTCCATTTCTAGTAACAGCTGACATCCTGCTGCTTGTTGGGCGTTTTGGCCAACGGCCAGCAAAACGGGCAACATGTCTGGAGGAAAGTGTAGGGGTATCGAGACATTAATGTTGTCTAGCACTCAGGATGGAAGGAAACTCTAATGTGGTTTTCTTGTATAATATATATGTTATATGATAGACAGTCTGGTGCTGGAGGTGCAGAATGAGAGTTGGTTGGTGAGGAAGCTCAGAGAAGGACAGCTGGTGGGTCGCCATGCTCGCTGGCGGGAGCGAGGGCCGCCAGGCAGGCGAGGAGGAGCGAAGGCAGCCAGGCAGCGGTGGGGGAGGAGGTGTTGCTTGTTCAAGAAGAATGGTCAGAATGAATCTCAATGGAGAGACAGAGCTTATATACCCAGCAGCCGCTATGAGTCATGTTGGGAAAACCCGTGAAGTCGCCGGTGAATAGTTTCGTTGCTAGGCAACGGCACGTTGGAATGTGATAGCAGGTGGTGGGCTGCTACGCAGTTTGTAGGGGAGACGTCCACTACAATACTCCCCCTTCCCTCCAGGCGGTGTAGGAGACTTGTTGATTGTAGAGTTGCTTAGCACATGTGAGGCAGACCGGGCAGTCCATGCCTCATGTGAGACAACGGCGATGGCATGATGAGCCGATCGCTGAAATACAACTGTCTAGATACACACTATCTGTGGGAGAAGGGAGAAAAAGGGTGTGTGGAGGCGATGAATGTTGTGCTTCCCTCACGACAGGTACAGGGTCGTCAGATGCGCCTGCTGGGGTGTGTGTGGGCCTGGGTCAGGAGCAGGGGCTGCGTCAGCAGAAGCGGATTAGGGCTCGTGACAGCAGCTGGGTCCACGACAGCAGCAGGGTGCAGGACATTAGCAGGGAGTACCTGAGGGAGAAAAGAGGGTGTGTGTGGGCCTGGATTCAGGAACAGAGGCCACGTCAGGGGTTATTGCTGGGCCGGGGTCGGCGTCTGAGGCAGGACGGGTGTGCTGGGGTCGTCAGAATGTGGTGCGTGGGGCAGGAAGAGGAGCCGGTGTCTGCTTGAAGACTGGGAGCGTGATCAGTGTCTCCTCCATCCTGTGTGAGTGCTAATCTCCGGGAGTCACCATTGTAGGAGTATCGAGATATTAATGTTGTCTAGCACTCAGGATGGAAGGAAACTCTAATGTGGTTTTCTTGTATAATATATAAGTTATATGATAGACAGTCTGGTGCTGGAGGTGCAGAATGAGAGTTGGTTGGTGAGGAAGCTCAGAGAAGGACAGCTGGTGGGTCGCCATGCTCGCTGGCGGGAGCGAGGGCCGCCAGGCAGGCGAGGAGGAGCGAAGGCAGCCAGGCAGCGGTGGGAGAGGAGGTGTTGCTTGTTCAAGAAGAATGGTCAGAATGAATCTCAATGGAGAGACAGAGCTTATATACCCAGCAGCCGCTATGAGTCATGTTGGGAAAACCCGAGAAGTCGCCGGTGAATAGTTTCGTTGCTAGGCAACGGCACGTTGGAATGTGATAGCAGGTGGTGGGCTGCTATGCAGTTTGTAGGGGAGACGTCCACTACAAAAGTGTCAAGTGTGCCGCCACCTTAAGAAACACTGTGAAGGAACGGCTGGAACGGAAACTTTGCTGTGTGTCAGAGGAATTATTGCTCTATCGTAACTGTAATGTGTTGAATAGCAGAACTATAGAAGTAACGGGTACCTAGTGACAGCACTAGGATCCCGCTTCCGCTATCAAGGAATAAACAATTGAAATTGAATTGAGAATTGAAATAATGTAAGAAATTTAGTTATGGAGTTATGTATATGTTGCAATTAATTTAGGTTATATTTAGTTAAAGTAATATTTAATAGTCACCTGAACTATGAATAATTATTCCTGATTTAAATGTTTTGGCGAGTTTACATTCCTGTGTCTGCGCGTGCATCTTACCATTTTGTTTTTGTTTACAGGGATTAGCCCACCCAGACCCAGGCACAGGTAACCTATCCACATCGGGGCCTGGGGACAAACAAATTTCAATACAGAAATGGATTTTTTTTACCGTTGAATGTCAAATTACCTGCCATCGCCAGTTCCTTAACGATCGACCAGAGAAACAACCCTCACCACCTTCAGTAAAAACCGGCGATCTTACCTAAATTTACCTTACCTAACCTTACCTAATGTAATGTAGTGGACGTCTCCCCTACAACTGCCTACAACTGCGTAGTCACAGCCACCACCTGCTACCGCCTTCCCTAGCAACCAACCAGATGTTACCATATCTTAGCAACGGAACTAGTCACCGGCGACTTTCTGGGTTTTCCCAACATGATTCATAGAGGACTGGCGGCTGCTGCTGGGTATATATGCTCTGTCTCTCCATTGAGATTTATTTCTGACCATTCTTCTTGAACAAGCAACACCTCCTCCTCCACCGCTGCCTGGCTGCCTTCGCTTCTCCTCGCCTGCCTGGCGGTCCTCGTTCCCGCCAGTGAGCATGGCTACCCACCAGCTGTCCTTCTCTGAGCTTCCTCACCAACCAACTCTCATTCTGCCCATCTCCCTGAACAAGCAACACCTCCAGCACCAGACTGTCTATCATATAACTTAAATATTATACAAGAAAACCACATTAGAGTTTCCTTCCATCCTGAGTGCTAGACAACATTAATATCTCGATACCCCTACAATGGTGACTCCCGGAGATTAGCACTCACACAGGATGGAGGAGACACTGATCACGCTCCCAGTCTTCAAGCAGACACCGGCTCCTCTTCCTGCCCCAAGCACCACATCCTACGACCCCAGCACACCCGTCCTGCCTCAGACGCTGACCCAGGCCCACACACCCCAGCAGGCGCATCTGACGACTCAGTACCTGCCGTGAGGGAAGCACACAACATGTATCGCCTCCACACCCCCTCTTTTCTCCCTCAGGTGCTCCCTGCTAATGTCCTGCACCCTGCTGCTGTCGTGGACCCAGCTGCTGTCACGAGCCCTAATCCGCTTCTGCTGACGCAGCCCCTGCTCCTGACCCAGGCCCACACACACCCCAGCAGGCGCATCTGACGACCCTGTACCTGTCGTGAGGGAAGCACAACATTCATCGCCTCCACACACCCTTTTTCTCCCTTCTCCCACAGATAGTGTGTATCTAGACAGTTGTATTTCAGCGATCGGCTCATCACGCCATCGCCGTTGTCTCACATGAGGCATGCACCGCCCGGTCTGCCTCACATGTGCTAAGCAACTCTACAGACAACAAGTCTCCTACACCGCCTGGAGGGAAGGGGGAGTATTGTAGTGGACGTCTCCCCTACAACTGCCTACAACTGCGTAGTCACAGCCACCACCTGCTACCGCCTTCCCTAGCAACCAACCAGATGTTACCGTATCTTAGCAACGGAACTAGTCACCAGCGACTTTCTGGGTTTTCCCAACATGATTCATAGAGGACTGGCGGCTGCTGCTGGGTATATAAGCTCTGTCTCTCCATTGAGATTTATTTCTGACCATTCTTCTTGAACAAGCAACACCTCCTCCTCCGCCACTGCATGGCTGCCTTCGCTTCTCCTCGCCTGCCTGGCGGTCCTCGCTCCCGCCAGAGAGCATGGCTACCCACCAGCTGTCCTTCTCTGAGCTTCCTCACCAACCAACTCTCATTCTGCCCATCTTCCTGAACAGGCAACACCTCCAGCACCAGACTGTCTATCATATAACTTATATATTATACAAGAAAACCACATTAGAGTTTCCTTCCATCCTGAGTGCTAGACAACATTAATATCTCGATACCCCTACAATGGTGACTCCCGGAGATTAGCACTCACACAGGATGGAGGAGACACTGATCACGCTCCCAGTCTTCAAGCAGACACTGGCTCCTCTTCCTGCCCCAAGCACCACATCCTACGACCCCGACACACCTGTCCTGCCTCAGACGCTGACCCAGGCCCACACACCCCAGCAGGCGCATCTGACGACTCAGTACCTGCCGTGAGGGAAGCACACAACATGCATCGCCTCCACACCCCCTCTTTTCTCCCTCAGGTACTCCCTGCTAATGTCCTGCACCCTGCTGCTGTCGTGGACCCAGCTGCTGTCACGAGCCCTAATCCGCTTCTGCTGACGCAGCCCCTGCTCCTGACCCAGGCCCACACACACCCCAGCAGGCGCATCTGACGACCCTGTACCTGTCGTGAGGGAAGCACAACATTCATCGCCTCCACACACCCTTTTTCTCCCTTCTCCCACAGATAGTGTGTATCTAGACAGTTGTATTTCAGCGATCGGCTCATCACGCCATCGCCGTTGTCTCACATGAGGCATGCACCGCCCGGTCTGCCTCACATGTGCTAAGCAACTCTACAGACAACAAGTCTCCTACACCGCCTGGAGGGAAGGGGGAGTATTGTAGTGGACGTCTCCCCTACAACTGCCTACAACTGCGTAGTCACAGCCACCACCTGCTACCGCCTTCCCTAGCAACCAACCAGATGTTACCGTATCTTAGCAACGGAACTAGTCACCGGCGACTTTCTGGGTTTTCCCAACATGATTCATAGAGGACTGGCGGCTGCTGCTGGGTATATAAGCTCTGTCTCTCCATTGAGATTTATTTCTGACCATTCTTCTTGAACAAGCAACACCTCCTCCTCCGCCGCTGCCTGGCTGCCTTCGCTTCTCCTCGCCTGCCTGGCGGTCCTCGCTCCCGCCAGCGAGCATGGCGACCCACCAGCTTTCCTTCTCTGAGCTTCCTCACCAACCAACTCTCATTCTGCCCATCTTCCTGAACAAGCAACCCCTCCAGCACCAGACTGTCTATCATATAACTTGTATATTATACAAGAAAACCACATTAGAGTTTCCTTCCATCCTGAGTGCTAGACAACATTAATATCTCGATACCC